GGCCTTTGTTTGCGAAACTGTAGGTTCATGATAAGGTAGGCGACAGACCATACAAGGTCATGCGCTCCTGTTTCCGCTATCAATAACATGAGAGACTCAAGACTGTTTCCTTTATTATTCCAGTGGCGGCCCAACAAGTGGGCTTTGTCGGAGACAAGGGGGTGGTCCCTATGAATATTGTCTACCATAGTATCGTAGAGCAATACAAATTGGTCATTCGGTGCAGGCAGGTCTTGCTTTTTTGTTGTCTGACATTTGTGGAGGGCTGTGACTTGGTAGTACACGATATCGAAGTAACACGAACCTGAGCTAGCTAGCTGCTTAAGGGAGTCGTTGGTCCATGGGGCATACCCGGCAAAGACTGACCAAAGGTCTTCATCATCAAACACAATGGCGTTGAGTTGAGCAATGGCTTGATCAAGGAGGTACTCTTGTTTGTCGGCAAAGAGACTATGTACCATCTGATAAAGGCAACCAGTGTCCCACTGTTTGGGAATGCTGTGTCTTTCAAGAGCAAGAGCATATGACTGTCGGATCATCTCTCTCCAGGGCACCAGTTCTTGCACTATCAAAGTGGCGTCGTACCATTCAAGGTGGTTGAATTCGGGTACTGCAGATGGCATGGGAAGGGAGTAGTTGTGTATCATTTCCTCAACGGCGGGAGCAAAAGCACACTCGAACAAGTGCATCATCGTACTGTAATGGTTCGGGTTGGCGTCATCCAAGGATCTATGGAGGTGCTTCCATTCTGGATATGGTTTGGAAAGGTAGGAGGCCTTGTGGGGGACATATTCAGGGTTTACACAGGGGCGAGGGAGATCTTCGAGGCCTTCTTCTGGGAAAGCAACCGCGTAAAACCAATCCTTTATTGGGTCTGTTTGCTTGTCTACCATGTCCTCGTAAGTGAGATCCATCAAGGCTTGCTGGAGTTTGTCAGTAGAGTCCTCTAGGTATTCGAGAATAGAGCGTTCATACCCCACAATGAGAACATGATAGTATGGGCTAGAAGGTTCTGCTGCATCTCCTCCATAGAGGCGAACAAAGTATTGGCGTTGTGCTTTGCATGCGGGGCATTTGCCTAGGCCTAAATAACCATTCTCAGCTGCATCACAAAGGGAGCCTTTGTCATCTGTGGGGAAGGGACACGGGAAGCTAGGGAGACGATTGACATGTGACTTCTCAAGACCGGGGAGCAAGTCTAGACGCCTGAGCTTATCATAGTGCATTGCGTATTTGTGCTGGCAAGTTTTGCAATTAGAGTTCGTACCTGCTAGTGCCATACAGTCTTCACAAGGAAAGATGAGGGAGGGGTCGTCCAAGGCACGGCCGCGGGGCCGGGTTTGCCTGCCATCTCCTTTTTGGCGATCGTCCTCTCGTCGTCTTCGGGTGGAGTCCCTGGAGGGATCGTAGTTCTCAAAGTCCTTCACATTCCACCAACGGTCGGGACGGGAGTGTGGGCCTACCTCTTCCACGGGCTCCCACTGCCTGTTTCTTGCCGGCCTAGAGTAATCAACCCAATCCTTCCTGAAGCCTTTACCTGTGTCAGTGGAGGAACGTGCTCTATCTCCGAAACCTTTTCCACTCTGTTGGGAATCTTGGTTGGAGTCGTCGGGTTCATCATCCTGTGAGCGCTCCCATCTCTTATTGTAATCGGAGCGTTTCCCTTTACCCTTAGAGCGGGGACCTTTGTTACCGGAGCCTTTGCCTTTTCGACCATAGTCTTCTAGGTTGATACCTGCATCTGAAACTGCTTGCTGGATTTGAGGCTGCATTCCTAGAAATCCTTGGAGGACAAAGTTCGGGTTCTTGGTGAGTTGCGTGCAAAGCTCGTCCCCCATCTCGATTGGGTAGATAGCATACGGAAAGGATTTAATAGCGTCTCCCTAGAAACATTGGAGACATCTTTGGTGTGCGAGAAGTGGTACCTAAGGGCAGTGGTGGCGTGTCTGCTAGCTGATGCTGAGGCTTGGAGAAACTGAACCGTGGAAGCCATCTTATCCCAAAGTACCTTGGGAACTCTACTTTCACTGAGTCGAAGAGATCTGAAATAATCAAAATATGACACGCGTAGTGTTTGTCCGGCAAATAGATCACCTGGGCTAGGAGCTGGGTTTCCTCTGGATCCCAAATTTGCAAGGCGTTGAGATCACATTTCAAATACCCTGGAATGGAGGGGCTAGGCGGCTTTGTGAGAGAATCCATCATTGCGTGCAACGGCACGCACTCCAAGCGCTCTAGAACTGGGAGGTCACGCTCAATGCGCAATGGGCTATCCTGATGGTCTTGGGAGTGGAACCAACGCTTCTTTGTTTTGAAAGCCTGAAAGAAAGTTTTGGAGGAATGTTCTTGCAGAAATGTAACCTTTAAAAAAGCATTAGTAGAGGTACTTACGTGATTGGAGGTGGTCTGCACATCATCCTCAGTGAGCTGGGCTTGCTGCAAAAGATACTGGAGATTGTGATCAATAGTGGACTTGTTGCTAAAAGGAGGCAAACCATGGATCAAGACCGTGCGGCGGATGAGATCTGCTTCAACTCCCGTAAGGGCCAAACCTTCGAATCTTGCCAAGGAGCTTTGCCTGTCCATCCTGGATATGAGTTCTTGCCTAATGTGGTTCGAAAGGAGATCAAGGGAAGGCTGTACCGTATGTTCATGATATTGCGCAAGGACTGTGCTAAGATTGTCCATAGTTACCTGAGGCGGAGGAATTTCTACACTGGGTGCAGGGAGCTCTATGTTCGTGGTTGGGGTGAAGGAGTTAGTGTTGGTGTCAAGGCGAGCCATCTTTCGGGGGGTTGCGAACTGTGTTGTAGGCTTTGAGGAGCTCAGGAGAATTCTGGAGGGCTTCCCTAAAGTTCGGGTCCATGTCACCCCACGCAATAGGATCTGAGTCTGTATCTGGAGCACTGCCTTTGAAAGTACTGGCTAAGCCGGTTATTCCTGACATGCTTGGAGCTGCTGCGGGCTGTGTCTGGGCCTGAAGGTTGGAGACCAAGGCATCGAAAAGGGAGGCTGAGATTGTCTCCGGCTCTTTACCGGTTTGTCTAAGGTGAATAATTCCATTGGTAAATCGGACCACTTGTGAATCACTCGTCAAGTTGATGATACGGCTGATCTGAGGAGCATCCTGCGGTTCCTGCTTCGCCAATTCAGGAGGCGGGGCTTTCACTGGTATGGGTGCCACCGGTTGCGCAGGAGTATTCTGAGTTACGGCAGGAGTAAGGGGAGCAGGCTGTTCAGCTGTCTCTGGCGCCGCTGCTGGCGCTTCCGTCTGCTCGGCTGCCATGGCGGCAGTGGTATCGGCCATTTTCCGAGTCTTCACCGAAATCTAACGTAAAATGAACCAGTCAAAACACATAGGCACAAGAAAAGCAACCAATGTCTGAAGACGGGGCTGCTATGTCTCACCTTGAGCCTGGATCATATACATACAGAAACATATATATACATATATATATATATATATATGAAAAAATAGGCACGCAGGTGTGCAGGTAAGCAAGCAGGCACGCACACGTGCTATGTTATGCACACACGGACGCACACATACATGCAGGAACGCACGCACGCTGACAAACACGCACGCCTGCAAACACACATACGTGCACCCTTGCGTGCAGCGTGCCCGCATGTCAAAGGCAGGCAGGCAGGCAGGGAGGTGGGTAGGCAGCTCGCGGGCACTATAGCCATGCATGCATGTATGTATGTATGTACGTATGTATGTGTGGTCGGGATTAGCCTGGCCTGGCTTGGCTGGGCACGGCATGGCATGGTATGGCATCGTACGGATTTATGTATCTGCATATGTATGTGCGCATGCTGCTACGGCATGGTAAGGTTTTTTGGTGGTATGGTGCGTATTGATGCATGCATGCACGCACACACGCATGCATGTTCCTATGTGTGTTTGCATGTGCATATTTACGCATGCATGCGTACATACGCATTGATGTGTTTTCGTACTGCCCTGTGTCTCAATTCATTTCGTTGTGCTGCAGTGTGCTTCATTGAATTGTTTGGCTCCGTCTCACGGATCCAGCGTAGGTCTCGAGTGCTGAGAAGAATGGTCATGTCAACTGCAAGCCACTCCTGTGCGGTAGGATGCGGTAGGTTTACATGGCATTCTTGGGTGCAAAGACATTGCATTTAAAAGTACTCCTGCTACCGTATGTGAATGTCATGCATCGGGTGCTTAGCATTATCGTGACTTGGCTTGGTCCTCCCCGGGTTGAGGAATTGAAAGTGCGCGGTCGATCGCCCGTTCTGCCTTCTCAGAATGTCGTCGTGCTCGGCGAGATTCCGGGTACTTAGCCTTTGTCTTCCTCCAAGCGAAATCTCGATGACTCTCACCTTCATCTTGGCATTGCGTACAACAGGGGAATTACGTGGCCGCAAATGACTCCGGCCTGCTGTTGATTGAAACATTTAGGCTCAGAGTTTGTGAAAGATGCACAAACTCTGAGCAGTTTAGCTGCAACAGAAGCTGAATTTTACGTGCATCCCTGGATTTGTACAAATATGTCTATATGTATAATATATACAGATATATATATATATATATATGTGTATGTATGTATGTACACGTATTTGCTTGTCCTGCATCCCTACTGATGAACCTGCATGTAAATCATGTTTCAGGCGTCTGTGGCGTGCACCTTCTTTCCAGCCTGCTCGGTGTTCCAAATGCATGTGCTTGTTAACTTTGTCGTTTACACTTCCCATGTTTTCGGCTGACTGTTGACTGTCCGCAGGCTCCGGGACAAACAGTGGACTCTTGGGAGAATCGGCAGGTATTCAAAACCAAAGCCACATTCAGGGTTCCCAACTGCTGCTTGCTCTCAACTACAATACAGGACAGGGAAGCCTTCCAAGACCAGCAGAATGCGCAAGAAATGTTCGCTGTAACTGTAGAGTCCCACAGACACTGAGACATGTCAGCACATTCCTTTCTTTGACCAAAGCATGCAAGGCCGAGTTCACGACGAATTTAGCCTGGACTCCACCTCTCGGAGTCTGCAGGGACGCACCAGAGCAGGTCCAGCATATCCCAGGAGCCGGCGAGGTCGTGCCACAGACCCAGGACCTCTAGGTTATCAGAGTTTTTGTAAACGGCTTGACTTGAAGCAAAACTTTCAACATCCTGCTTTGGATGCACGACCGAGTCTTTCAGCAGCCTCAGGATTAAATCGCGACGCCGAGCTGAGAAGCCGAGAAACGAAAAGAAAGCAACACACCGTCCGCAAGTAGTAGGACTCCACCTCACACAAAGGCTAATGGAATTCAGGGATTCCTTGCCGCAGCCTTCAATGCAAATAACATGCAGTCTGACTTCAGCCATTTACAAATGGCGCCGCAACAATCGTCGAGCCATCTATTTGCAGGAGCCCGTCTGAGTCATGCGAGCTGCCCCATATTCTCCTGGATCAATTTTGTCCATGATCTCCTGCTCCTTCTCTGGAAAAAGAAGCTTGAAGGAGTCCCTGACGAAGGTCCTTTCAGATCAAGCAAGCAGGTCCTAGGTCCCCGCCTCCACACATTTCTTAACAGTACCAAGCCCAGCTGAGAGTACTTGTATTGCGCGAAAGGCAAAAGAACTGGAGGTCCTTGTCGACCAGAGGTCGAAGTCGTAGAGCCGCGACCTTTGTCGGCCCACGGCATCGGGCTTCGAAAACTCTGACCAGCATGCTGCTTTGTCTACGCCCGCTGAAGCCCCGTGTCCCTGTCCCTGGTCATATGAACAGCCACGAGTCGGAGTGATTACCGTTCCTCCTGGTCCCACGCAGTTCGATCCATGAGGGCAGTTCTGGTGATGCGCAGCAAAATCGCAAAGGAACCTCGGAACCAGAGATTTGCAACGTTGCACTGGCTGGGCTCGTGTCGACTACACATGCTTCCTCAAAGACACGGGGAACAAAGCTTTCAGATGCACTTTCACAAGCTCAGGGATCTTAAGTCATAGCCATGGCACATTTGACTTCCGAATTTGTTGATAATTCTCTCTTCCTTGCTAATCATGTACAGGAGAAAGCCTGCAGGCGCACCGGAACTGAGTTTCCCACAAGCTCTGCAGCGGAGCTGAGCTGCAGCTGTCCGAGAGCTTGGAGACTGTAGCAGACCCGAGGGTCTATGATTTGAGAGGGCGACATATAACATTACGCAAGTCTGTTCTTCAGGCTGACCATCGCATGTCGAAGCTCAAGCAGAATCTCTGTGCCTTGCAGGAGGTTGTTCATGATCATGAAGAGCAAACCGCGCAAGGCTAGGCCAGTGTACGAGATAGTCCATCCGGCACTTCCTGAGTTGAAGCTTCGAACTTCACTACAGCGTGCGCTGTTTCACAAGCTTGGCATGCGTGGAAGGTGCAACCGAAGGATCTCATGCCTCTCCATCTGCCTTTGCTGTCAAGTGGCTTGCCAGCTGCGGAAGAGCGAGTGCCGCACCATAGACAGAGGTGGCATCCACCGTGGCAAAACCTATGATGATTCTGATCCAGTCCCAGGTTTAGCATCCCTTTCATATATTGGAGGTTTTCAAGCCACGGTGCCTGCAGAGTCGTGTCTCATCACTCGCAAAGCTTTCTCCGCAATCCATTGCCTGCACACCGCAGCCGCAACCAGAGTGCACAGCGGAGGGCAGGCACTCGACTTTAATCCTAAACTTCCGCAGGGCTTCCGCACCTACAAAACAGTCGAGGCCCTACTTCTTTTAGGCCCTAACCGTCCGTGCCAAGAAGCTTCCCCGGATCCTCAAGAGCAAAGTCCAACCGTGGGCCTGCAGAAATGTGAGACACGTCGTGTGGAATGCGCTGAGTCATACTGTTCCTAGGTGCGGGCCAGCAGAAAACCGTTTGGCCGAACGGCCCAAAACCTCAAAGGGGCGGCTGCTCGATTGGCGCCTGTCGGTTGCTGCGATCGGGCCGCCCGCTCGCCTCTTTGCTTCAGAAATCCCCGACTAGCACGGCCCGAGCACGGCCGTAACAAGTATGCCGGGGGCGGGATTTGAGACGTACCTTCTTGGTTTATCGAAAACGCAGAGGTTTCTGGTTCAGAAGCGATCTTTTGCCGGAATCGGGTGCGATCACAAGAAACCTTTGATTAGACTCGGTATCTGCCGAATCATTGGTCAGTTGTTGGGTTTCAGGGTTTAGCGGTTGGAATCTGGTTGGATTGAACTAGTCTTGCAAGCGTGAGGCACGAGTCTCCGTGGCTCAACCATACTTAATACTCAGCATCGCAACATATCACACGTCATCATCTTCAGTAATATCTTCACAGAGCAGTGCAACAGATCGTGAGAAATGTGGACGTTACTATGCCGAAATGTAGCTCGACATAGGGTGGAAACCATCAAGAGCCGCTGCCCAAGAAATGTGCCAACCGCTCAAGGACATCTTGAATATTCGGGCGTATTTTAGAGCCCATCATAGGGAAATTCGTGAGATTGCAGTAAAGTAGCAATCTTCTCGGAGCAGAATCTGTGTGGAGTCTTTTGGGACAGGACCCCGACTAAGCAGGGAAACATAAGAAGATCAAGACTTTGTAGACACTTACAGATACCGCGCAGGCCCCAATGCATGAAGGAGTGGTTCGCACGTGAGCAAGGCCTGGATTGCCCGGGCCGTTCGTTGGGCGTTCCACCGGCGCATCGGTGTTCGGCACCAGGCGGTAGCCATCGCGCGACGCTGGGTCCATTCTTCCATGAAGCTGCAGGCTGCAAGCAGCCAGATCCTAACCTGCTTCCGCTTCTGCTGCTTCTGCTGCTCCTGCTGCTGCGCCCTACGTCGTCCAGAAAAGTCGGGGATGCTTACTCTTCAGGGCTGCGAGCTGCATGAGTCACGACATCGTCATCGTACTGCGGCCTGCTCACAAATCCATTTGTTGAACGGCTTTTGCGCGGGTGTCTGCTCCGGCTGTACGAGAACAATACCTGTCTTTGGCAGCCTTTGCACATGTGACTTCTGAACAGTTCAGCTGCAGAACAGAGTGCTGTGACATGCTACTCAGCAGCGGCGGCGCTTCACATCGAAAACCCACTCGGATGGGCACAAAGCGCTTCGTGCCCAGCATTGCCTTTGCGGCCCGCTTTGGCTCTGCCTCGGCGGCAGCAAAAGCCAAGCAAAGACTGCATCAATGGTGAGCAGGACCGTTGAACTTTGAACTCCTGTGCTCTGGACCCATAGGTTTCTCTCCTTCGTGGCACCGACGACTGCGCTCGCACAAGACTCCCTGGCATTCGCTTGCGCTGCATCGTCGGGGAATGCCAAATCTTGCGCTGGTCTCACACCATAGGCTGGACTGCAGCGGTGCATGTGTGATCTGGGCCAGTCAACGCAGCGTCAACAACGCCTGGGTCCTCCGAGCAAGCTACCGCAAAGTCCACCTTCACTGCCATAAACCTGGGACATGCGGAAAGGGATCAACTGCACCACTGAGCGTTGGCAAGCTTCTTGGATCGTCGGATGCCTGCAAAGGTTCAACGGTCACCATTCTGAGTTAGACACGTTTTTTCACATTTTTGTTGCTACATAACACGAAACAGCCTTTGAGCTTAAGCCTTCACGCTTGCCGGCGCACTCTCGTCTGAGCTTCCAGCGCGTTGTGTAGAGTACCGCACGATACTCCGAGACGGTGGCCGGGCAGCCTCTAAAGGAATTCATTTCGAGTCTTGAACCTGGTTGCTCGCATCACTCTGCCAATGCCGGATTTGCCTATACCTCTAGCAAAAAGTCTGTTCTGATTTCATACTTTATCAAATCTGTGCATTGGCGTCCTGGGCTCAAAAAGCTGATGCCATCAGGCCTCACCATCGAACCACTCGACGCTCGCAGCAGATGGTGGCCTGGCAGGCACCGACCTGCGCCAACTTCAAGCTGTCAAGGTGATGAGGACGTTGCAAGAACGTGTTTCAACACAATTATGTGTCCACAACAGCCACGACGGACCAATTCTTGAATTGCTTGAGAAGACATACTCCGATGCCTCGCGGTTTGCCACCAAGAGTGGGGTGGAGTTGAAGGAGGAGTAAGACCTGGACATAGCAACCCAGTGCATGGAATCGCCAAAAAACGCATCAAACATTTGTTCATTTGAGTGGTCCGAACCCTCCGCAGATCGATACCTTCGCAAATTTGACCTGTAGCTATCACCTTCGCGAACCTTCCCGTCGAAGTGTACTCAACGGAGAAAACGAGGATGCCTTCCTTGGATGATGGTTTACTATCTGCCTGGAGAAATGAACGAAAAATTAAGCCGGCCGAGCTGCCAATGCGTAACATCTTCAGCGACGACCTCCATGAAACCTAAGTACACTCAGTCTCGACAGCCGTCGCAGCCAATATCCACGCGTCAAATGCTATGCGAACAAACAAGTGCCTCGTCTCGACCGGGATGGAGCTACGGCCAATGACGAAGAAAGGCGAGCAATCAAATACTGTTGAACGAAAAACACGGACACATGGTGGAGGCTGAATCTTGCATCTGCTATCGTTCGCTGACATTATCGCAATGATATATGGGAACTTCACGAGTCCACATCACAACAACCATGAGTCTCTGCTGCATAAACACTGAGCAAAAACCATCGCATCAGCTCGACAAGCTGACACCAATCAATTCCAAAAACTGTTTGGCAAAATCGAAAACCTCGCATTAAATTCGCCTCATGAAAACATGTTTGTTATACACAGCTACATTATCCGGTGACTTGACATGCGAATTTTGGAATCTGCGCAAAGCCAATCCAATCTGGTGGCACTTGACACCTCTGATGCCTCTGCTCTGCATGGCCGGTAACTGCAAAAATTATATTTGCTCGTGCCTAACTGTAGAAGTCGCTCACGCCCGCATGCTCGTTGAAAACTGTGAATAACTTCTCTTCTTTTGTTTTCAAAGCCAAGCACTAACATGGAACTAGCCGAAGGTTTTTTTTACATATGTCGGCCTCAACTCCCGTCCCACTCAGACACAGACTTGTAAATTGGGAAAAAGAATTCCAGGCCAAGCGTCCGGCCATCCATCAAAAGGCCCATGACCAAGGACTTTTCAGCAACGGCCCCCTTCGAGAAAGCATCTGAACGGAGGAACTTCAGCTCCATCGAATTGCAACACTTGCATTCAACAACGATGGGAAACAAGCGACCGCCGCCGTGGCTGAAAACAGTCCCACTAGCAAGGCGGGCTGCAAGTCCAAAAGCCCGACAGCCGTCTTGGTGCCGTTGCACAACTGTCCATCCGTCACGAGCAGTTCTCCAATCGTCAAGCACACGAAAATCCGATCCAGGATTTCAAGTGTGATTGTGACAACAATCTTTTCTCTGCATCGCAACACCAGATTCGTGCAGTTGAACGTGTTGCGTCGCAATCAAAGGTCTGTAGATCGGTTTGCGTGCTCAAGACACGGGCTAGCTCCGATGCGAAAGAAGCTTGAATCCAAAACATTGCCAACCGGGTTGGGGTTCAGCAGAACACGACCTGTTGATTCTGTGAAACGCAGATTCGATTCTCCAATTCAAGCCCAGTGTTTTGCGCGACGGTCGTGAGCCAAATTTGCTGGTGAGGCAGCCCGGGCACGACGGCAAAATGCAGTGTGAACGTGCAAGACACCGGCAACTCCTTCTTGGAGTTCCTGATTTGTACGAACGTCAGCTCAGGTCACCGCTGAAAATGAGACAGGCTGCAATTTTTTTGGACCAACCAATCTTGCCACCCCCCCACCCCCCACCCCACCCCCCACCCCCCCACCCCACCCCCCCCACCCCCCCCAACCCCCCCACCCCCACCTCCCCATGAGATGTAACCTGGACGTGTATCCCCTCGCTAGGCGTACAGGAACACAGGCACTCAGGTGTCTCTTTTGCTACAGGCGCACAGCTGTAGTCCACTGCACTAGAACCTTGAGCAACAGGCATGGATACATGCAAGTGATACGTGAAACAGACAGGCACCTGGATGTGTAACATTCAGTACTTCAACCAGGCACAAATTTAAAACACGTAGAGCTGCATGGCCGTGGAGTCGGCATTCAACTAGCCTGTTATTGCTCTCGGTCGAATTAGCGGAGTATTGAGCTACATCTGCGACTTGAATAGAATCTATACATCTCTCACCTGAAGACAGCTTCAATGAAAAGAGCAGAACACGCACGAAACACAAACGGATCTTCAACTGAAAAACTTTTGCTCGAAAGTTGCCCACTTGTGTTCAGTTACCTCTCCAGGCGGAAAGCTTACTGTCACATAAAGGATTGTAGAGCTTAGCTCTACTGATGCCAGCATGACATCTTGCGACACGACAAATGTATAAGGGCATTAGAAGTATCTTATCCTGAGATAAGTATCTTCTTTCTGACAAGGTCTCTAAGGAAGTACCTCTTCATGAGAAAAGCATCTTCCTATGAAATGGCGAATGCTCAAACTGGATACCTTCTTATGAAAGAAGCATTCCGTGAAACACTCACTCCACATCTTCCAGCGGACCTTGGTTCATCACCCTCTGGTTGTACTGCTCAACCATGCGACGAGTTCGAGGACTGTCGTCTGGATGAAGCAGCCGGTAGTGCGGATAGTACCATCTCTCCAGACTCCAGTGATGAAGCTGTAGGCGAAATGGAAACCACGGTCTACCACCAAAGGATGCTGGGCCAGGACCAACGTCTTCGTCAGGAACGTCAACGTCTGCGTCCTCGCCCTCGTCTGAACCTAGTCAGTTTTTGCCCTTGGCCTTGCCTTTGGACTTGTCCTTGGTCTTGCCTTTGGACTTGCCCTTGTCGGCGTCCTTGCCTTTTCCCTTGGAGTACTTGCCTCCTTTGCCGCCTTCCTTGCCGCCAGGAGGTTGTGCGGGTTCTTGAGGACGTTGAGAATCAGAAGCTTTAGCACCAGAAGCTGCCTCTTCCTGAGAAGAGCTTGCTCCCTGTGGTGCGGCTGCAGGACCAGTAGAACCAGAACCACGCGCCTTGTTCAGCTTCTGTCTCTCTTTTCTTCTATCCGCGGCGTCCTTCATGGTGTCGGGATTGCGGTTGAGCGCCCTCATCCTGCCTCCAGAGAACTGGTTCGCGTGAACCTCGATGAGGAGCGGCGTGTGAGCGTCATAGTCCCGATCGTTGAGAAGGTACGCGGCGCTGGTGGAATTTAACAGCCACTCGGAGACATGGACGTCGAACTCGGTCTTCGAAGGTGGAAACTCCGCCCACTGATCGTCCGACATGCTGTGCCCCCACTCCATGACTGTAGCCATAACAGGATCCAAACCAGGAAAAGTATTCCAGTCTGGTTGCTTAGCTTCTCTGTATGGCATTCCCAGCGTGTCCTCATACTGTTTCAGAAGCCACATGGCGTTTGCTGACATATGCCTCGCACGAGGTGCACAGAGGTGTGGGAACTTCGGACTGTCTGACCAGGCCTCCAAGAAGTAATCGAGAAGGCTTTGGTACATTCCGCCACGAATATCCATTGACTCTTGCTTCCTGCCAGTGGCCCTGTACAAGGCCATGTTGGCGTCGCCACCGATGAGGTCGACTTGGTAGTGCAAGCAGTCAATGAACATGTCGCCCAACACTTCATGAGCCAACGCCACTTTGTCTGCCGCCACATCGTTACGGAGGTGGAAAACACAAACTCTGATACGGTCGGACCCGGCACGTTCCAAGACCTTGGTCAGTGACTCATTCGGAACATCACCACGACTGCCTTGAAGTCCGGTCGGTAACGTCATGCCATACACGATCTCGACGACCATATAGGTTATTGGAAGAGACTCGTGGGCGAATCCACTAAGAGTGGACCCAGCAAGACGGGTGATCGAAGATCCGACACCATTCGTACGACTTCCCACCATCAGATCCTTGGACTCGTTACGCAGGAATTGCCACCCGCGTGACTTGAGGAAGGCCTCCTCGGAGTCATCGATCTTAGTCGCTTCGCAGAGTAGAAACAAATGCGTCTTCGACTGTGCAATCGATTTTATCAAGGCTCCTTTGGATGGTGTAGCATCGTCCCAGTCAATGTGACCAGCAACGGAGCTAGGAGCGGAACGCTTCCTACCTCTGCTCATGTTGCCCAGATTGAGGATGAGCGCGGCGTACTTGGTCTTGCTGGTGAAGATAGGGACGTCGGAGTCCTCTGCCAGACCAAAGCGATGAATATAAGGATTCGGCATCTTCTCAAGAGAGAGGTCCCCGATCTCCTCTTCATCGACTCCAGTGCTCAAGAAGTAATGAAGCATAGCATTCAAGAGTTCTTCTCGAGTTGCCGGATTGCCGCTTGCATCCAGGGACTTCAGCTTGTCAAGAAGTGCTTCCATAACCTCCAATGCTGATTCTCGGATGTCAGAGGCCTTGCCCATGAGCTTGTCATCCAAGGTGCTGCGAATGTCACCAGAACGAAAGACAACGTCCTTCTTGTCTGGGCGACGCTCATAGATGGGAGCCATCTTGTTGAGTTGGTCGAAGAGGTCCCTCATAGAGAGAGAGTATTTCTGTCCCTTGTGATCAGGAACATTTACCCTCCAACTCATGTGCTGCACCTTGTACGCGAGAACGGGATCGTAGTCAGGATCACGTAGTCCTGTATGATACAATCCTGAATAGCCATACCCACGCAACTGCTTAGAGAGCAGCCGCATAGGGCTTTGTCGTTCGATTTCGGTGAGATGAACAAGGACATGTTTGAACTCTTCGATGTCAACGAGCTCGATCTTTTCCTTCGCTTTGTTGATCTCCTCGAACGCGTTCTCGTTCTGTTCCTCTGCATCCTTCGCGGCCTGATGGTACGCCGGGTCCGGAACAGTTTTGCATTTCCCCCAGATGCCTTGATCGTGAAGTTCACTTTCATCATCTTTGTCGGGAGAAATATCTGGCATGGATTCCTCACCCTGTGGTGAGCCTTCCCTAGCCATATCGATGTTCTCGGACTTACCTCCTTCCTGACCCATGTGCTCATCAGACTCGACCTTTACTTCGGATACCTCTCCCTGTGGAGAGCCTTCCTCAGCTTCGGTCTTCTGCTGTGTGACATCAGCCCCAGATACCTCTCCCTGTGGAGAGCCTTCCGGAACGTCTGTCTCCATCGGCTCGACTGTAACCCCAGATGCCTCTCCCTGTGGAGAGCTTTCTGGAGCATCAGTCTCCATTGGCACATCGGTCGGCTCGGTCTTAACCGGATCAACCTTCTTGCCCTGTGGCAAGTCCGTGGATCCAGTCGCCGGCTCAGAGGTATCCATCTGAGTAGCCGCGGGAGACTCCTCGATCTCTTCGATCTGTGGACATGGGAGTCGCTCGATAAACTCCTCGATCATAATGT